GACATCCACCCTTCCTATTCATTGGTCAGAAGGCCATCCTGGCCCCTTTCTGTGACCACGATGAAGAAGCTCTTGGTTGGCGTCTCCCAATGAACCATCTTTGCTGAATCTCTTGAGTTCCTTCTCAGCCTTCTGCTCATGGATATGGAGGTTCTATTCCCCGCCCCCCGCCACCAATCAAAAGGTACTACATAGCCCTTGAGTAAAGAGAAAAGGGGGCCACTCCCTCTCTCCCTCTTTACGACCCCCCCATATCTGTGGGTTTGAATGAATCCATTTCCTGGGTTCAAATATTTTCACTGCAGTGGTTAAGTGATTAACGTGATTGTTAAGGACCCAAAACGGAGCAACCCGTCATAAATATGAGTCAGTTACCAAGCATCTGAATTTTGATCACATGATCCTAGGGATCAGTCCTTAAAAAAAACCACAGTCCTAACTCACTTTTTTCAGTGCCATTGTAAACTTTGGTCACTAATGGAACCGTTGTAAGTTGAGGACTACCTGTGTTGGATCAGGCAGGAAAGTTAGTGGCGATACGTCCCTCTTAAGTTTGCTGAATGTTGCATCTCCCCAAGATAATTCAACTGGACACAGAGTGGTTGGAGAGTCACAGAGTTTGTTTGTTTTTTCTTGGGGTGTAGGATTTTCGGGGTGCAAACTGAACCAACCATGATGTCAACTCTCAGCTAGGAAGAGTGATTTATTCCTAGTTCCAGAATTTTGAATTTTACCTTAATCCCGATTCTTCCTGCTTTGCCTCTGTCCTCCTTGGTGGAACAGTGTCACAGACCACCACAACCTTGGCTTGGTTTAACTATGGCTTACAGGGCAGGTGGGCGGGTGGGTGGCCTCATAGGTGGGTGGGTTTCCCCCACACCTTGGAGGGGGCAGTGCCAGAAAAATCCCAGAAGGGGAAGCTAAAGACAGGAATTCAAATTCCTGCTGTCAGAACCCAACCTGTTTGGTTGATTGATGGTCCATAGATTGTGTGAATCCATAGAATACAGAATAACAGGTAGGAGGGACCTCAGAGGTCTTCGGCATCCCGAGGCGCCTCCAGAACCCCTTTACTTGCGAGTAAATGAAGGGCGCCCTAGCGCTATAGTTTATCCCCCTCCGCCTTTCCTTCCTTCCCTCCATCCCGGGCAGGTTTTCCTTGAAACGGACCCAGTCCTGGCCCGTGATAAATTTCTCCGGGTCTGGCGCCCTGTCTTTACCCACACTCGACTCCGGAAAGCGCAAAGGCGAATATTGGTTTTGGCTGTACATGTAACACCCAGATTTCCCCCCCGGAATCAACACCTACAGGAATGTCTTTTTCCCCAGGCGGTTCCCCAGCCCATCTTCCTGAAAAAATACGAATTTTTGAACTATAAATCTAATATCAGTTTGAAGCGAGTTACTTACAAAAAGAGAGAGAGAGAGATTTTGCCCTGCGCGTAAAATACACTCTGATCAAAACAGGACTATAATTAGAAATAACTTAGTAAAAGCAGTAACTTAGCAAGCCTGTACCGACGTCTGAGGTAGATTTGTATTAACGTAACGTGTGAAGTCGATGAAAAGTGGGAATCTTGATTGGCTGGGAAGGTCTTAGTCGCCCCCTCCCCCCAAAACCCCGATGTATAAGGAAAAAGACACCAAGGAATTTATTTAGCCGCATAAAAACCGGCTTGGACTGCCACCTGTCAGAAATGGTGTAGGGTCTCCCTGCTTGGGCGGGCGGGCGGGTTGGACTAGATGATCTATATGGTCCCTTCCAACTCTGTTATTCTGTTAGCTGTATTGTCCTAACCGCACGTGTGAAAGAATGCCGGGTCTGCCCGTGGCACTGAGAGGGAACGCGGGTTGCTGGGCTCTCGCCTCGCTTCTTCTAGCCTTTGATCAAACCTCCCCAAACCACCGAATCACCAAAGCGGAGCGTTCGCGGTTTTCCCCGAAACGTGCGAATCCCGCAAGCCTTGGGACCTCGAGACGCAAAACGGGTCTTTTGCGGCTTTCCCTTTCTAGCCCAATAAGCGGAGACAATTTGTTTGAAAATTATTCCTTTTTTTTCCCTCACCCCACTTTCGAGAATCTTTTTCGCTTGCCTTCTCTCCGCTTCGCTTCACTTGGGTCCGGCCACCGCAAAACGGAAGCGGGGTTGTCAAACCCGGGATTAAAAAAAACGGGGGAGGAAGACCACCCCGTTTACGAAAGGGGTGCCTTCAAAAAAGAGAATTGGGGGTAGCGCCGATGAAGCAACTGTGCCAATCCGGCATGAGGACACCTCACTTTTGTGCGCGCCCCTCGTTTTATCCCGCGTCGGTTGGCAACCTCTGAAAATGAAGAGTTTGCGTTTAATCCAATTCGCGTTGGATGTGTGTGTTTGTGTGTTCGTGTGTCGTTCTTTTGTTGGGCACGCACTTCCAATTCTGAATTTGGTTTGCCTTCTTCTCGTTAACATCCCTTTCTCGCCATCCCCCGTTAAAGATCCGATCCAGAGCTACCGAAAAGCTTGGATGCGGACGCGTGAATACAGTTAGTCCGGAACAGGTTGGCTTGCTTCACAGAGAACTCTAAATTTTGGACCCGTTTGCGCCCCCACCCCTACACACACATACACACCTGGTTTTGCATTTTGCGTTTAGTCAAATTGAATCGACCCCACCTCTAGTTTAAACCTGGGTTACCAAGTAAGTTTTCCTTCGGAACGAGCCTCTTTTCAAGTTAACGGGACTCATTTCGGAGTCCACCTACCAGCCTATTGTCCATTTTTTTGAGGGGGGGGGGGCAATTCTTTTGAAAACCAAATCTCCTTTTATTCTTTCACCGGGCTGTCTTAACGCCCGGCGGGAAGCTGATCCATAAAAGCCGATCTTTCGGATTTTAAATCCACCTTTTCCCGTTGTTTTTCCCTCCACCTTTTTATCCCCCTCTCCCTCCTGAATAAAAAGGTCTCTTGTTACCCAATGGAAAGGGCAAAACACAAGTCTTGCAGGTAAGGCGCCCACCTCCTAAGAAAGATTTAAGTCAGAGCGGTGGGGCCACAGGATGTTAACCTTTCAAAGGGAACAAAATAAATAAATAAGACTAAACCGCCCGCACTTTGAACGCGCCTGGTGTTTTTTTATTGAGATTAAACGAGTTTCGGGGAGTAATGAACAATTGGAGGCTCTTTCTGGCTCTTCCGCCCGGAGTTAAAGGACTTTCACTCCCCAAAGTCAAGAACCGTTTCTGCAATTGTGGGTGCCCTCCCCCCCCTGAATTGAACAGGTGTCGAGAAAGAGGGGTGGGGGTGGAAAACCGCGACTCCATCCTCTTTATACAATTTTAACTTATCCTCCGTTTATTCTTCTGTTCCTAACCTTTGCTTCTCGTTACAGAAAAGACACAAAGCACCAAAGGTGATTTAATTTGATATTATTATTATTATTATTATTATTATTATTATTATTATTATTATTATTATTATTATTATTAGCCATTTCATTTCTCTCTCTTTCTCTCCCTCTCCTGAACTGCCCTCATAATTTCCGTCCCTGTAAATTTGGGCTCTTCAGTCTTCCTGAGTTGAAAGGCGCGATCGTGAGCCCCCAATCCTTCGGCAGAGGCTGCTCCGAAGAGAGGCGCGCTCAGTCGCGCTTCCAAGAGAAATGCGTCTCTCTCTCGCTCTTTCCTTCCTTTTCCCGGGAGCGCCTCGCGTCTTTTGCGCGCGTCCGCCCGCCCGCAGACCGGCCAGCGCGCCCCTGCCTTGTCCGGCGCTGGTTTCCTTGAGTTCCCCCCCCCCCCCCACACACACATCCTCTTTTCTTTGCACAGGGAATTTGATCTGTAGGGATCCCGCCCCTCCTCTCCCGAAGGAAGAGGGGCGCTGCTTTTTAAAAAGAGACCCGTTCCTTCGTGGCAAAAGGAAGGCGGCGCAGAGAGAAGGGAGCCAGATCCAAGTGAATATTACAAAAAATAAACCAGACTCCCCGTCACCCGTCCGTTCCTCCCTCCCACTCGGAAAGCTGCCTTTTTAATTCGCCTTAAATCTTCCTCCTGCTTAGGACAAAAAACTTCGAGAGAATCCCGAAATCGGGACTGTTGGATTCCGCCAAGCCCGCTGCGCGTCTCTCTCTCTCTCTCTCTCTGTGTGTGTGCCACGGACTTGAAATTGGATGGCTAGGGACCAAACCAAAGTCTTCCTCTCCATCCCACCTGGTTAAAAAACAAAAAAACAAAATTGAAGCGATTTCCCCAAAGTTGGTCAATGTCCGTCCCTCTTCCTCGTCAATTTCAACGACGCGCTCTTGGCTAGCCCGGGGCCGCTCCGCCGGGAGCCGCCTCGCCTTGCCTTTGCACCCCCTAAAACTCGGACGGGGATGAGTGGGTGGGACCCCAAGAGACAAAGGGGGAACCCCCGTTCCTTTGAATGCGAAAAGAAGCCCCCCTCCCAAAAAAAGAGAATTAGGAACAAGAACCCAAAGGCGTCTTGGCTGCCCCGCGCAGGTGAGCAGGTGGCCGTTGGATCCGCTCCTCCGCGCCCCCTCCCTTTGATGGCCCCTGCTCTGCGAAGAACCTGGGAAAGAGCAGGTGTCTTTGGGGGCAGCCCAGTCTCCCTCGTGTGGTGGGTGGGCTCAGGCCGGCGGAGCCTCGCCTCCTCCCGCCCCCCCCCTCTCTCTCCTAGCCGAGCCCCCACCCCTTCCAGGGAGGGGGCACCTCCCGCCTCTCCTCTCTCTCTCTCTGGACTTCATTCTGGAAAATCTTTCTCTCTCTCTCTCTCTCTCTCTCCCTCCCTCTCTCTCTCGTCAGGGAGGAGGGGGGCGAGTCATTAATAAGCAATTAGAAAGGTCGCCCATATATATATATATATCTACCAGTCCCGGAGCCGCGTCCCAGACTTTGAGATTTGGGCCGGAGCTGAGCATCGGCTGGGGGGCCGCGCCTCTCCCTCCAGCCCCAAGGTGTGTGGGGCTGTTGCCGCTGCCGCTGCTGCCCCCTTCGCCCGACCTCTCCCTCGCCGGCCCTTCCCCATGATGGGCTCCGTGCTGCCGGCCGAGGCGCTGGTCCTCAAGGGGGCTCTGAAGCCCCCCAGCCTCTCCCTGGCCGAGGTCATCACGTCGGATATCCTGCACAGCTTCCTCTACGGCCGCTGGAGGAACGTGCTGGGAGAGCAACTGCTGGAGGAGAAGAACGGAGCGGGAGTCGGGGCGGCGGCGGCGGCAGCGGCGGCGGCCGGGGGTGGCGTTGGCGGCGGCCACGGGAATCCCAAAACGGCCTTCACGGCGGAGGTCCTGGCTCAATCCTTCTCCGGAGGTGAGTTTTTCCCTCTCTTTTTACAAAAAGAGTTTTTTTGGGGTTTTTTGGCTGGGGAAGAGGGGGGAGAACGAGACTTTGCACGTGTGAATGCTCAGCTTCTTCCCAGGAACGCGGTGCGTGCGGGATGACACGTGTACAGGGGGAGCGGCGGGGTTCTGGAAAGCCCGCGTCTCTCTCTCTCTCCTCTGGCTTCCCAGAGGAAACGCCGCGGAGAAGGCTAGAACCTGGGTCGGACACGTGTGCGCTTCGCCCGGTTTGGATCCTCCAAGCGCGGCGTAGTGAGAAAGACCCCGGCGAGGCGGTTGTCTCGACCCAAGAAGATGACCCGGGCCAGTTTCTCTTTTTTAGGAGATTCTTCTAAATGCCCTCCTGCTGTGATTTGTACTGCAGACCCGGGTCTGAAAGTAGAGCTTCCTCTGGGGTTGTGTGTATCTGCTGGTTTCTCTACACGTGTGCGTCTTGCTCCAAGTATGTGGTGCCGCGGATGCATCTGGGCGTTTTTAGAGGTTTTCCACAACTCACATGCAGAGTTTAAAAAAGGAGACGATTTAAGGAATTAAAATTAAAACCTGACATTGAAATCGCCACCGCCTTCCCCAAGACACACCAGACCCGTGTTGGGGCTATGAAACTAAGTTCACACAACCTTGAAATCCTGAATTTCCACCCCCACCCTTCGGATAACCATCCAAACTACAGACTGCATAATGCCCGCCTCTCAAACTACACCATGGTTTAGTTTACATAAAAGCCTAATTCACACAACCCCTTGACCCAGGAAGGATCCATTTGAACCCATTCTTATGTGAATCCTGCCTTTTCTTTCCCTCCCTTTCTCTCTTTCCCCTCCCTTTCAAATCCCGAGCAACTCCCTCTGATCTACAAAATCCTCCCAGCAAAAATATTATTTTTTTTAAAAAAAGACCCAACCAAAAAAAAAAAAAGTGTAATTCTTTAACTTCTATTTAATGGCTGAACTTTCACCCTGTTCTGATTATTTTTAACATGGAACCAAAACTTTTCCTTTCAAGATCTTTCCTTTCCACAGCTCCGAACCGGATTAGCTGAGTTTTCAAACTGCTTTTCTCCCAAGGTTTCAAAATAAATAAATAAATATCAAGATCCTCATAATCTTCTTTTTATTGCTTTTCACACTCAATTTTTTTCCTTTGGGTCTCTTCCTGGCTTCATTAAAAGAAAAGAAAAAAAAACCCCAAACACCCAGGCATTTAAAGGCTTATTAGGCGTGTAATAGCAGTTGACTGATTTAAAAAAAAGGTTTTAAATTCATTTAGTTAACTTGAGCCTGACCTTAAAGAAATGGGAGGGGGCATTCCCGCTTAAATGGAGAACTTTAAAAGTTGTTGGAGACCATTTTCTTTTCTTTAACCTGTCTCAAGTCCTTACTCTTCATTCATCAAACTCGGGACAAGCAATTCCTTTTCCCTGCTGGCATTTGGGATTCCCTGGTTTTTTTTATCCTCTCTCCACCCCACCCCAAAAGATTACTGTTCCTTTCTTAATCTACCGTGAAAACTCCATTCTGTGTCCTTTCAAAAGATGTCAGCCCTGCTAATCTTCCCCATTTTGTCCCCAGGAATTCCTGCGCCTTTTAAAACAAGTTTCTTAGCCCATTCACTTTTCCCCAGTGTTGGCCGACAGCATTCTCTAAAGGCTAATGAATTTAGAATTAGCCATTTTCCTTCTAAGGGTCTTGAATGAATGAGGATCACTTTAAACAGCGTGACAAATTGCTTTATGCAATGCCGTGGCACCATTTAACCTCGCACTCTTCGCTTCTTAAAGTTTTTTTTCTCTTTCTCTCTTTCTCACCCGCTCTCTCTCCCAAGTTCTTTCTTGAGCCATCTTAACAAGGTAGCCTTGTTGGGGTTGGGTTCTTTTTTAAAGTCCGGTCCTTGTTCCATTTTTCCGCCCCTGGGAATGGGATGGGGGGTGGGGTGGGGGAAAAAGGAACTGGCACTGAGACCCAGGTGTCCTTGGAGAGAGATAACAGAGAAGAAAAATAATAATCTTAAGGAAACCAAAGATTGCAATCTTGCAGAGGTTGCGTAAAGTTGGCACACGGAGTTGGGCGTTGTCTGGGTTCTTTTCTTTTTTAAGCTTCAAATACAGGATGGCTGGGGATTTTCAGCAAGGGTGGGGGGATAGATCTCTCTTAGAAAGGCCACAGAGAGGTAAAAAGGGCCAGCAGTAGCGACAAAAAAATTGGGTGTGTGCAAAAAGAAAAGTTGAACACAAAAAAAATTGTGTGCAAAAAAGAAAAGTTGAACACAAAAAAAATGTGTGCAAAAAAGAAAAGTTGAACACACAAAAAATTAGGTGTGTGCAAAAAAGAAAAGTTGAACACTAATTTAAAATTCTTCTTTTTTGGTGGTGGTGGTGGGGAGTTGGATAGATGCATTTGGAGAACGAGGAGACCGCAAATTCGATTGACACCCCATGCATCTCAAACATTAGATCCCTGGTGCAAATTTCATCCATTCAACCTCTCTCTTTTTTCAGCTCCCAACCACAGATAACCCATCCTGAGTGTGTCGTTTCGGGCTGGGTATGTGACCAGGCCATAACTTCACAACATTATGAAGTCCTTTATTGCTCACTGCACCCTTATTTCCCCCACGGGCACACGACACACCTCAAATCATGTGCCATTTGCAAAAGAGGATGCTGTGGGCCGGATAAAGATTTTAGCACTGAGTCTGCCATGAGGGAAAGAGATTCAGCATCTCCTTGACATTTATATTGTTTTTACGCTATATATAGGTGTATTTTTCAAGGTGGCTTCAAAAAGAGAAGGGTCCTTTTAGACTCAAGCAAGTCTTGATATACTCCAATAATTTGCTTCCAACAGTGGCATAAAATAGTCTAGCCCCCTTTGCGTCTGGTGCTCCGATACCTGAAAATCAAAGGTGAACATTTAAAAGCAAATACTTGGACCTTTGAGCGAATGAATCAATTAAATTAATTTTGATAGTGGCGGAGTGTGTTTGCGCTTTGCAATTGTGAGGAAGAGAGTATGTGGATGTATGTGTTTCTGCATGCAAGATCCTACTTATAAAAGAGACAATGGCTGATGGATGGTTTGGAAACTTATTATTTGATTGACTGAATTGGTTGATTGATTGATTATGTCACTCAGAGTCACCCTAAACTGCGAGACAGGCAACAAATACCTTTGATAATAAAGTACCATTAGTCATAGGCGCCTCGGCATTGACAAAATCCCTGTCAGTCAATTGCCAAAGGCAGCTTCATCAGCAAGACTTACATCCTGTGACAATATTTGTAACCCCATCTAACCTCCACACCTGCATGCCCCAGGTCCTCAAGAAGGACTCGGTAGCTGGACAAAAATGTGGAATCCAGTCTGAACATCTGGCTGACTGTGCCACCAACCCCAATCACAAAAATGTGCCATGAAATTGGTTTTCAATTCCAAGCGTCTAGCACACCTGATTACCTCAATAGCTTCCTGCACCTGACTCCTAAGAGGCTGTGATGCTAAATGTCTCTATATTATTCGATAGAATCATAGATCCATAGAACTACAGTATCACAGAATGATCGAAAAGGTTCATAGAAGTATAATAACATAATTTCATAATAATATAGAATCATATAACCGTAGAATCATAGATTCGTAGAACTATAGTATCACAAAATCATAGGGTTGGAAGGAACTTTGAAGGTCTTCTAGTCCAACCCAGAACCTTCAAAACAGAACATTTAAATGAGCTTCAGTGGACATTACAAGGGGTGTGACCTTGAATTTTCTCTAGGAAGATAGAACTGTAAAAAGAATTGATTTGATTGCTCAAGATGTTCCCATCTACAATTTAACCAAGAACGGTGCAAGGAGAAGCTGATTGATGCTAGTCTACAAATGCACCAGAGTTCTGTTTTATTTTATTTATTAAATTTATTTGCCACGCCTTTCACTTGTAAAGGTATTCAGAGCAGCTTACAGACAGCAAACAGATAGATTAAAAAAAAAAACGTATTGATTTTTTTAAAGACTATAGATAAAACTGGAACCAAGGAGAGTTATTAGGAAGAGGATGAGAAGAACTGATGGACATTTTATGGGCAAATTCACCTTGACTAATCTCTCTTGACCACTGAAAGTCTGGACCACTTGGTGTGGTTCATTAACACAACTCTGGTTGTGCAAGGTTTTTTTTTTAGGAGTCCCCAAATCTAAAAACCAGGCAATTGCATTTCCCAGTTTGTGCTATGTTGCCAAGTGGCTTATTCCCAGCCAATTCCCATCGCTCCCCTAAACTAATATAATTTCCACTCTTACTATTATTTACCCATAAAACAGCTTCAATGGAAGATTAACCTGTCTAAATCCAACGCCGTTCCTTAACTCGTGTTGTCGGGGGGATCCATCTGCATTACCGAAGGTGCTGCCCTGCGCAATTTAGCAATCAGGCTTTTCATTTTGTGGGTGTGCCAGCGGGGTTGTGGCTTCTTTGGCTTCAGCGCAGCCTCCTGGGGTTGCGGGGGAGATGATGGTTTAGATGGTAGGTCAGGGTGCAAATTGGGATCCCTTCGTTAATGCAGGGGTGAAGCTAGTCCAGCTTCGTATGATGGGCAAATCTAGGTAACGGTGGTTCATTCAGCAAACCTTGGTTGGAGTTACCAGGACAAAAAGTGTGTTGGTTAAGCCAGAGGAAGGGTGATATGGTTGGTGATGTGGTTTGCACTTTTGTGAGTGTTGTAGGGTTGTTGTTGTTTTTGTCTGGAATGGGATAATGCTTGAGCAGGGGGTTGGACTAGAAGACCTCCAAAGTCCCTCCTGTTATTCTGGTGTGGTTAATCTCCCCGCTTCCCTTCGGATTCTCTCGTCCGCAGAAGTCCAGAAGCTCTCTAGCCTCGTCCTACCCTCGGAGGTCATCATCGCCCAAAGCTCCATCCCTGGGGAGGGCTTGGGCATCTTCTCCAAAACTTGGATCAAGGCCGGTACGGAGATGGGACCTTTTACGGGCCGGATCATCACTCCCGATCACGTGGACCTGTGCAAGAACAACAGCCTCATGTGGGAGGTAAAGGCGGACTCTGTGCATGCGAAGAAGGCTCGCGGGGTTGGGGGCGGAGGTGGTCGTCAGCAGGTTCTGACTGAGTCCCAACTGATCGGCTGGGTCTCCTTTGGTTGCCCTGCCCAGGAGAACGGAGCTGGAAAGCAGGTCAGTGGGGTGGGGAGGGAAGGGGGAGTTTGCAGTATCCTTCCCCTGCCACGCCCACCAAGCCACACCCACATAACCGGAAGTAAAAATGTTTGAATCCCACCAATGGTTGAGGGCTTAGAGAGACACCTCCCCCCTATAGGCAGTCCTCAATTCATTTAGTGACCGTTCCAAGTTACAGCGGCACCGAAAAAAATGAACGATGATAGCCGTTTTTCTCATGGCCGTCCTCGCACCCCTGTGATCTCGTGATCAAGATTCAGAGGCTTGGCAACTGGCATGTATTTATGCCTGTTGTATTGCCCACCCACCCCCAAGTCACGTGATTCCCCTTTTTGTGACCTTCTGACGAGCAAACTCAATGGGGAAGGCAGAACACTGAACAACCACTGAACAACCAGGTCACTGAACAACCATGTGACCGACTTAACAACGGCAGGGATTCACTTAATGTCGGGGGCAAAAAGAGGTCGCAAAATAGACAACACAACTCAATGAACAATCGTGTTGGTTAGCAAGTTTGGGTTCCATTGTGGGTACCAAGTCAAGGACTACCTGTATTCCACATTTAACCTGCTCAGGACAGGCTTTTGACTTGCCCCATTCTCACAACATGCTAATCCTGGTTAGTTTTTTACTTGGCTACTTTGAGGTTGAGCAGGCTTTTCAGAATCCAGCCTGTCTATTGGTTCGTACAATTTTTTGGTGTGATGACCCAGAGCGTAACAAAATCCAAAACGTAAATAAATGTCCTTTAATGCCTCCAACTTGGCCCCACTGTTCAATAATAATTCTCAGCTGGAGATAAAACGTACTCAGAAATAGTCTTCAAAATAAAGCAATACAGTCCGAACTTAATGAGCAGATAGAGGTAAAATAAAAAACCAAAACAAACTACAATGAACGAATTTCCATAACGGACCAGGATAAGTAATTGCCAACTTCAACGAGATAACAAGGCACAGTCTGTTGGAAGGACGCCAACCAAGATAACTTCAACCCAAAAATAACACACGCTTTGCTTCTGGCAATGCTGTGTTGTAATTGTCTCTCTTATATACTAGTCTCCCCAGCTGCAACCAACGAGGAGGATCATGGCCGCTTCCTCTTTCGTAAGCCAAGTTGTTTCCTCCTCCGTTCCTCCCTGTGTGTCCTAGGATGGGCCTGGTTCTTCCTCTGAGTGCCCAGCCGGCCTCTGCCCTTCTCCAGCCTCCTTCACAACCTCTGGAGCCACACTTCCACTCCCTGTTGGCTGTTCCTCCTCTCCCTCAGAGTCCAACTCTACCAAGGGCATGACAATTGGCCATCCATATGACCACAGACTAACTTTGGGCAGCTTACGGTCATTTTGGTAATTTAACAGTGGCTCGTTCTGCGCGTTCTTCAGTAAACAGGTAAAATCACCCACCCCAATGCCAGTAAATATTAACGTTAGGTTCAGAACCCTTAAGCCAGGAAAAGAAGCTGAATTCAGGAAGCCAAGCCGCTAAAAAAGAAACCAAGGTTAAAACCAGCCCAGCTTCGCCTGCTCTGCGAATTAAGTTGCTGGTTTTTGTTATCTATCTTGAGAAAAATGAGTTGAATGTGTGTTTTAAGCTGCCATTAAGAGACATAATGGTGCCTTTCTAATTTTTTCTTTATTCAAAACTCCATAAATGAAGGCAAATGACAGCTATTCAACCCAGGGATAAAGGAAGCCTGCCTGTGAAGCTCAAGGTTTCTTTTTTTCTCTCTCCCCGCCTCGCACTTCAGTTCATTCTGTATCTGTTTGGTGGGAGATGCCCGCCTAGAAATACATAAATTTAAATTTGTATATATATATTCTTGGGATGCATGGTTGGTTTTTTCCCCCTTTTTTGCAAAGCTTTTCCTAATAGGCATCTACTTGTGCAAGCAACTGGCCTTGACGAGTTACTTAAAAAAAAATTTTTTTTATTAAAAGATCTAATTTCTCCATGAATGCATCGTAATGTGCCCTTCCCTGCGACGGAGGCCTTTTCGTCTGTGATTTGATTTGAAAGGGAGAATAAGCCTGTTTTCTGGAAAGGCATTTCTTCCCTCTCTCGCGCTTGAATTTTTCCAAGGCAACCTCTTTTTTTTGCGAAGCTCACGTAGGATATTTATTCTGCAATTGACAGCAGATCAGAACCGCTGCGGCTCTGCTTCCAACTCATTTGTGCTCCTGAGACCATTTTTTCCCCCTTTGAAAGTTTTCTTCTTTCTTTATTTCTCTTGGCAAGTTTTCTTCTTTGTGAGTTTTCTCCTTCCTTCCTTCCTTCCTTCCTTCCTTCCTTCCTTCCTTCCTTCCTTCCTTCCTTCCTTCTCCCACTCCGTTTTCTTTCCTCCACCTCTCCTTCCTCCTTCCTTCCTTCCTTCCTTCCTTCCTTCCTTCCTTCCTTCCTTCCCCTATATTCTTTTTTCCTCTGCCCTCTCCTTCCTTCCTTCTTCCATTCCTTCTCTTTCCTCAGCTTCTCCTTCTTTCCTTTCCTACTTTCTTTCTCTTCACAAGTTTTCTTCTCTTTTCCTCTTAGGCAATTATCTTCTTTCTTTTTTTCCTCTTTGTGAGCTTTCTTTTTCTTTATTTCTCCTTGCATGTTTTCTTCCCTTTTTGCAAACTTTCTTTCCCCCCCTCCCTCCCCCCCTCCCTCTCTATTTTGCTCTCTGCAAGTTTTCCAATTTTTACAACAGAGAGTTTTCTAAACTAGAAAATATCCCAAACTATTGTTGGGTGGCTCACACAGCAAAAAACATTCAATCACTGCTGTGCTCACTTAAAAGACTCGATGTCCAAGATTTTCCCCTATTCCAAACCAGACTAATCATGATATATATATTCATGGACTCTTAGAAAGTCCCGAGAGATTTTTCAAGGCCCACTGCGGTCTTTAAACAAAGACATTCCCATCTATTTTCTGCAGTGTTCTTCATAATCTGATACACCATCTACTCATGTCCCACAACTTAATTTTCTTTATATCAATGTAAACTGGGGATAATCTGGAACAATGAAGTTATGTGCAATTGCTTATTTGTGGGTCCTGGATCCAGTCTGGGCTGTTTATATAAAATGGGGTGAGATATTTTTATATATATATATATATATATATATATATGGGGATAAGGAATTTATTTGAAACTGGGATAACAAGTCATTGGGTCAAACAGTTTAAGAATCACTTAAGACCCCAGTAGAAAGAAAGTCTGCGTTATTCGGCATAATTCCTCAGACCGGCTGGGGAATTTTGGGAATTCAAGTCCACCTGTCTTAAATTGCCACGGTAGAGAAACGCTGGCCTAATGGCTATGGAATAAAGCATTATATATTGAAGGTTTCTTTTTAAAAAAAAGCCAGGATTAATCATTGGGTTTTCTTAACCTCAGGTCTTCAATGAAGACGGGACGGTTCGATATTTCATTGACGCGAGCCAAGAAGACCATCGTAGTTGGATGACCTACATCAAGTGTGCCCGGAACGAACAGGAGCAGAATTTGGAAGTGGTCCAGATTGGGAATAGCATCTTCTACAAAGCCATTGAGGTATGAAATTGGGCAGCCAAAATGAAGAGAGGTACTCTGGGCACAACGAGAATAGATCTGCTGAACAAAACTCTGCACTGGCAACAGGAAGGGCATCCAGCCAGTAAACATTCAGCTCCATTCAGCTGCCCAGACGCCACCCTGCAAGGGATTATGGGTCGTTAAAAGAAGATCATAGAACCATAGATTCGTAGAACTAGAGTGTCATAGAATCATAGAGTTGGAAGCAATAAATGCCTGGCCAACTTGCTTAGTGACATCGCCACTTAATGATCATGCAATTTGCTTAACAAATGCTAGAAAATCGGGTCCAACCTGACTTACCACCACAATGCCATACCATAAAATTTCCAGTCCCGGTGATGGTTGTACCTGCATTTACAGAGAAGCAGTTTTTTTTTCTTTCCCAAGTGCCTTGAATTTCTCAACCGTATGTTCTTTTTTAAAAAAATGCACCCTGTGGTTCAAAAAAGCGTGTTTTCAAACTGAGTTCCGGCCGAAGAAGCAAGGCAAGCCACATCCAAGCTTGCTTGCTAAGTGACAGTTTGTCATTTAAAAAAAAATAAAAATAATAAAAATGGAAGTAAATTTAAAAATGATCTCTGGGCCTCCTAATTTCCCTTGGCTTGTTGTGAACATAGCTGTCGAGAGCTGCACATTAAAGGCTCCGCTGAATCGATTTAACAACCGTAATGGCTTTGAGCTTTTGCAATTTGAAAAATGCTAAAAGTCTGGGCCACGCAAAAGAGCAACACACCCACTAACAGGTTGCGATGTTTGTGGTGCCTCTTCACGCGTTCTCAATCTATGTGATTCCGCGCCGCGCATGAACTAAGTACTGTTATTAAGGGGTGCTGCATTTCTTTTATGGCTCAGGTTCGGCTTTCTAATGGGAAAAATAACAGTTAAGATTCTCACTTGAGCCTCTTAGGAGAGGGGAGGGAAAACGAAAACACACAGCCACCCAAGCCTTTCTCCCTTTCTTTTTTTCACCCCTTTCTTTTCTAGAGGTTTTCAAATGCTTGTTGATGGTGGCTGGCGGCTTATTTCTTTGGCAACCCACAAAAAAGAAAGATAATGACAGCGGTGTGACACTGTCAAAGAGACCAAACAGGAAAATAGGACAGGGGGGGAAAACAGATGAAGCCGACAGGACCTTAAGCCATCAGCAAAAATCTCATTTTTTAAAAAAAAAGAAAGAAAGAAATCGTCGCCGTTTAACTCCTGAGAATTACCGTACATATATTTGCTTCTAATAGGTGCGAAACCACACGAAGGATTACACACCTATTAGAAGGTGCGGTCCCTTGTCATTTCACACACAAACCCACACAGACACCCCCACCCCCCCACACACACACACCGTGGCTTGCGGCCTGCAGCTCATGTAAACACCTGTATTAAAAGCCAATTAACAGAAACAGTCCCCTCCTGCCAAAAGTGCTTCTCTGCAGCGTGAAAAATTAAATCCCATTTAATGCTCTTTGGAACTCGCAAAATAAATGCTTTCCTCCTTACAGCCAACCGCTTCATTAGAGCGACGTTTAAACTGATTTAATTAATTGTCCCAGTCCTGGGTTGTTTTTTTTGTTTTAGCCATAGGTGCCTTCGAAAAGCTGAGCAGGGATCGCGGTGACGGCTGGCTTTCCCAGGTGCCTCCTCGCCGCCTTTGGCTAATTTTTAAAAGATATTATTGTAATTAAAAGATTAAACGGGAAGGAGAAAGCCGCACGCCAGCTGTGGTTTTGATCTCGCTTTCTTCGGTTAGACATCCTTAGAGGCTCAAAACAGGCTTCGATTTAGGGCCACAACTGAGCCCCCAAATTGATGTTGCTAAGTGAAACATTTGCTAAGTTAGCTTTGCCCCATTTGACAGCCTTTCTTGCCACCGTTGTTAAGGGAATCATTGCAGTAGTAACACCGTTGAGAACCACACCTTGAAGTTGATCGATTCGGGTAATCATGGCACAACGATGGGCGACGTCTTCTCTTGATCCGATGCAGCTGGTCTCCGTCACACGTTTCTTAGAGAAGGACCAACACAATCACCAATGTTCGCTCTTCTCTCCTCTCCCACCAGATGATCCCACCCGATCAAGAACTGCTGGTTTGGTATGGAAATTCTCACAATACCTTTTTGGGCATTCCTGGTGTCCTGGGACTTGAAGAGGAACAAAAGAAGAACAAACATGGTAAGGAGATGGCTCGATATCTGCCATGACATCAGCGTGCCAATATAACACCAATGACATCCGTCGTATTTAAGGTGTTGGCGATAGAGGCAAACTACGGCCTTGTGTGCGATGGATGCAAAGGAACTAATGGTTGCAGGGATAACTCAACATTAACTCTCACGGTTAAACTTGCAGACTTCTCCACCAGGCAGATGGACAGGCAGATAAATCGATAGATA